TAATGTGAATTTCTATTGGTATTATAACAACCAATAATAAAAATGAAATAAAACATTAAAGGGCCCTAAAAATCACGTTTCTTATATGAAGGCCATACAAGAAACGTGATTTTTTTTCTCTATTGATATGTGTTTTGATCACAGACTGTAGCAAAACCTGGATTAACACGCAATAAAATGATGCTGTGTGTATGGTGGAATTAGAAGGACATTGTTTATCATGAGCTTTTACCGCCGGGTAAAACCATCGATTTCGATATCTACTGCCAACAAACAATGAGACTCAAGCAAGAAATTGAGAAAAAACGGCCGGCATTAATCAACAGAAAAGGAGTGGTCTTTCATTATGATAACGCCAGAACACAAAATTACATATTTATCTGTTTGAGACTTTCAATACACACTAACATTCCTAAAAATCCAATATTTGCGTACTTAAAACTAGTTTAAAACTTTTAATCATTATTTTCTTTTCAATTGTGTTCTTTAAAAGAAAACTTTCTGGAGGTTTTAATATTTAAGTTTATAATGTATTGTTTCGCATGTTCTAAATAATTAAGAATTTCCTTTATTTCCATTATAAATGGGATGACTAAATACACGTTGCTTCAAATCTCTGGTATTGAATATATCAAATAAAACTACTTGTCGCGTATTTTTAATCAAAAATCCCAAGATTTCTACAGCAACGGGATTATGATACAACAAAACAAGAACTACAAGATGGCATCTAGTTGTCAAACAAAATGGACCCATATATGTATATTATAATTAAATGTGTTTAAGCTTTGAAACAAATATGTCTTGAATTTGTTTATAAAATACGAAGAAAATTTTTCCCCGATCTTAATAAGTATATAAGGTGTAACAAAATAGTGCTCAATAACTTAGGGAATGATTCTACCCATCAACATGAATAATTTTTAGTATGGGATCTTTATCAATCTCGAAGTCAGTTATTCCATACAAAATTTCGTACAAACTCGTCCAAAATATACGAAAGACCTCATTTTTTGCGATTTCGAAGATAGATCTATAGCAAGAGTTGTTCATATTGACGTGTAGAATAGAAATAGAAAGCACTATTTTGGTTACACCATATTATATAACATTTTTTTTAGATAATTTGTGAGTATTAGTTAGACGTGTAAATAAAAAAAATTACATAATTAATAGAATCAGGCGTTACTTTGCGGAAATCCATTATATAAAAGCTTTTAGAAAAATTTACTTCGCAAATATCCGCGTTATAAAATAAAATGATGTGTCTTACCTAGTATGAAGAGCACCTCCCGTCCTCCCTCAATTGCGTGCACTATCCCCGTCACCACTAATCCCAGCACCGCTACTCCCAACACCACTACACTAGGCAAGACACACCACGGACGATAATACGACACGTGTTTCGCCTCTACACGAGGCATCCTCAGGTGATATAGACTCTACGGTGGCTAACCGCTAAGTCTACTTACATCATTTTATTTTATAACGCGGATATTTGCGAAGTAAATTTTTGTAAAAGCTTTTAAAAAAATTAACTGTTAAAAATGAAGCCTTATCTGCTATGCCCGTATTTATATGCCATTTATTCAGAAGAAAAGTCTATACATCATATACACAAATATAAATTGTTCATTTTTAAGTATTTCTGGGCTACATTCATAACTACGAACTTTAGCATAAAATAAATTTTCCCGTTAATCGGGTAATATTTAAGCTGCTGGCATATACAATCTTTCACGCACACTATCATCCTTGCAAATTGTCTTATATACACTACAATATTGAGTTGCCGCATTCACGGAGCTGTTATTTTCAGGTAGCGCGGTATCTAATCAGAGCGCGCGAAGAGGTCTTCGCGCGCTCTGATTAGATCGAAACGTTAAATCTTAGATTATTAATAGGTATTAATAATCTAAGATTTAACGTTTCGATGCAAACATTTTAATCAAATGTCCTTAAAAATGCCTTTAACTCAAAACTGATTTTAATTCAAAGAGCTCGAAAGGTCGTGAATATAAAATAAGTTAATATACGCGATAAAATCCGTAAAACTAGTTTTATCTGAATGAACAGAGTTTTATTACGAGTATTTTAAAATAATTTTACCCTTTTAGGTAGGGAATCTTTTAAGCTTTTTAGCTTGAAAATACTTTGCAAACTTATTTATTTTGATGTATCTTGTAATATGTATATATAATGCGTCGCTTTTAGGATAACCTTAAAGTTATCAATGATTATGAACCTTGAAGTTGTCGATGATAACTTATCATCGACAATATCCTTGCTGAAATAGATATTTAATAGTAACAATTCAAAAGGTTTATCGTTGGTAGAGCCACGCAGCAGTTTTTGCTGTTGCACGTATGGGCCGGCTCGAGCCGGGTTGGTACCATGACCTCACAGAATACCAGCGTGAAGTAGAGGCTCTGCTTCTGCGTTTCTTCTGGTGAGTACAGGTGGCCGGAGGCCCAATTCCCCTCCCCCCCCCTCCATCAACATGGTAGCGGAATTACACGATAGACTACCCCAGGAGGGTACCAGTACCCCTAAAGAATCCCTCGCTGAGCATCCACGACCATGTTATTCTAATCCTGAGCGTGGGTGCTCAGGCTGCCCCGCGTATTCTGGGGGGGGGGGGCAAAATTCCGCTCAAAAACATAACTGCTCGGGGCAAACTGAGCAACAATACCAAGGCGACCCCTGCCACGCTATCCGTGAATTTCTGCAACATCAGGGGACTTCACTCTAACCTAAACGCCGTCCACTACCATCTCGAGACGGCGAAGCCGGCCTTGCTCTTTCTGACCGAAACGCAGGTTTCCTCTCCGGTAGATATTTCGTATCTCTCCTACCCGGGGTACAAATTCGAGCACTCCTTTGTCCCTCGGGCTGGAGTTTGCGTGTATATCAGAGAGGACATCTGTTCTCGATGCCTCGGCAGTCTTGAAGGTTCGGACCTGTCCATCCTTTGGCTACGCGTAGACAGCGACGACCATCCGCGCGTCTACGGGTGCCTCTATAGGTCCCATAGCGGTAATGCCGAAAAAGACCGACTCATCGACCACGTCCAAATGGCTGCAGATTCCTTACTACAAAGGGTCCCATACGCAGAGCTCGTGATCCTTGGCGATTTTAACGCCCACCATGCCGAATGGCTCGGTTCACGTTTCACCGAACATGCGGGGAGATCTGTTTATGACTTTGCCTTGACGTATGGTCTGACACAACTGGTTACTTCGCCTACGCGGATTCCAGATGTGGAGGATCATACACCTTCCCTGTTGGACCTTCTGCTGACCTCTCATCCGGACGGATATCAGGTTTCCGTCGATGCCCCTCTCGGCTTTTCGGACCATTGTCTGATCCGGAGTGTGGTGCCACTCACGCTCCCTTCGCGGTTGCGTTCTGCAGGTTGCCGTTGCCGTGTTTGGCATTACAGGTCGGCGGATTGGGACGGAATGCGGTCTTTCTTTGCATCCTACCCATGGGGGCGGGTTTGCTTCTCGCCGTATGATCCCAGCGCTGTTGCTGACTCTGTCACTGATGTGGTTCTACAGGGAATGGAACTATTTTTTCCATCATCTGTGGTACCCATCGGAGGCAGATCTCAGCCTTGGTTTGGTCGCTCCTGTAAGACTGCATTACGCAGTAAGCAGGAGTGTTATCAAGCCTGGGCTGCGGCTTCGGCGACTCGGGATGTAAACACCAGCACACTTAAAAAGAAGTATAACTTCGCCTCCAGGTCCTTCAAAAGAGTTATTGCCAAGGCAAAGTCAGAGCACATAGGCAGAATTGGCGAGAAACTAGTTCGCCTTCCTTCGGGAATCCGTGCATTCTGGTCTCTCGCCAAGGCTGTCCAAGGGAATTTCTGTAAGCCATCACTACCATCTCTGCACAGGGAGGACGACTCACTGGCCCAAGACGCAAAAGACAAAGCTGACCTTTTAGGCTCCCTTTTTGCGTCCAACTCGACTCTTGATGACGGGGGGAAAACACCGCCGACCATCCCGCGGTGTGAGTGCTCCATGCCGGATGTGCTGTTCTCACAGCGCTCGGTTCGCAAAGCACTTCTCTCCCTGGACATCCAGAAGTCGAGTGGACCTGACGGAATCCCCCCAATTGTGCTGAGGACGTGTGCTTTGGAGCTGGCACCGGTCCTAACGCGTCTTTTCCGGTACTCCTACTCCCAAGGCACTCCTAGTCCCGAATTCATGGAAGACAGCTTTTGTCCACCCAATCCCTAAAAAAGGCGACCGCTCAGACCCGTCCAACTATAGGCCTATCGCGATCACCTCCTTGTTCTCCAAAATAATGGAATCCATTATAAACTGCCAGGTCATGAGGTACCTTGAGGATCACCAGCTGATTAGTGACCGCCAATACGGTTTTCGTCGGGGTCGATCAGCTGGTGATCTTCTGGTCTACCTGACCCATAGATGGGCGGAGGCAGTAGAGTCCAAGGGGGAGGCGTTGGCCGTTAGTCTGGACATTGCGAAGGCCTTCGATCGGGTTTGGCATAAAGCGCTTCTTTCGAAGCTCCCTTCCTATGGGCTTCTCGAGAAATTGTGCAATTGGATCACCAGCTTCCTTGCAGATCTGAGCATCAAGTTCGTTGTAGATGGTACATGTTCTGACTACAAGCCTATTAACGCTGGTGTTCCACAAGGCTGTGTGCTATCACCAACGCTGTTTCTTCTGCATATCAATGATATGTTGCTAACTGGTAACATTCATTGCTATGCGGATGACAGCACTGGTGATGCTCTATACACCGGCCGTGCCAATATTTCTCGGGAAAACGTCGCCGAGTACCGGAACTGTTGTGGGTAGTCTAAAAATATTATATATTAGGAAACCGCCTTTATTAATAAAGACAGTTGTCATCTGAACTCTGTTGTTTCATTGTCACTACATGGTGGCAGCGGTTAAAATACCTAAATAGTTTTGGATTTTACGTTTGAATAACGTTAATTTGTATTCTAAATTAAGTGTAAAGGATGGAGCATGCAAGACCGCCAACCGAATTGAGTTTAGATGGCAGCCCCGTCGGCCGGGCTGACGCATGGAAGCGGTGGAAGGCACAATTCAATCTTTTTCTTAAAGCATCGGGGGTGCACAAAGAAGAGGGAAGCATACAGGCGAGTTTGCTCATTAATCTGATTGGATCAGATGGATTTGATGTTTATGAGACTTTTACATTCGATTCAGAAGAGCAACGTGAGGACATCGAAATATTGATGAAAAAATTTGACGAGTATTTCGGTGTTCAATCTAATATAACATTACTGAGATATAATTTTTTTACGAGGTATCAAGAAACTGGAGAATCTATTGATCAATATGTAACAGCGTTAAAGTTACTCAGTAAAAACTGTGAATTTAAAAATTTAGAGCAAGAGTTGATTCGCGACCGTATTGTGTGCGGCATAAGGAGCACAATTGTAAGGGACCGGTTGTTACGGACAGATGAATTGACTCTGGAGAAAGCAATTAAAATATGTCAAGCTGATGAAATGTCAACAGACAGCAAGCGTGTGATGGAGACAGGTAGCTTCGGCAGTTCGGCGAGCTGCGGGCCCGTGCGCGTTGAGGCGCTGGCGATGCGCGGTGGCGAGCGGCGCGGTGGCGGACGCAGCGGCGGGCGCGGCGGCCGGCGCGGCGCGCGAGCTGCGCACGGCGGGACCGCGACGTCGCCCTGTCCGCGTTGTGGTGCTCAGTGTACTGATGTAGATTCATGTCCAGCTATTTCGGTGAAATGCTATGTGTGCGGTAACTACGGCCATTACGCTAGGATGTGCAAATGTAAAAATAGTGTTAAAAAAATGTATGAAATAGAAGTGAATACAGAAAAATCTAATAATGATGATTGTGAGTCGTTTTATGTATCTGTGTTAATGGACAAAACGCAGAACAAAATCGGCGGCGATGACTGGTACGAGGTATTAAGAGGTGAGTGTGGCTTTGAACGTTTTAAGCTGGATACCGGTGCCGACATTAATGTGTTATGTTATAAGAGATTTTTAACGCTAGGGTTTGACACGGAAATGATATGCAATAATAATAAAATGAAATTACAGTCGTTTAGCGGGGATGTTATTCCGATAAGAGGAGTTTGTCATCTTAAATGGTGGCATAAAAGTAAAATGTATGTTTTAAAATTCGCAATAGCAAATATTAATTGTGAAAGTGTGCTGGGTCGACAAGCGTGTTCGGAACTAGGGTTAATTCAACGGGTTTACGGCATTAATTTGGTAGAAAATTCGGATCTTTTTGAAGGCTTAGGATGCTTACCTGGTGAGTACCATATAGTTATTGATAAATCAGTTAAACCTGTAGTTTGTGCTCCGCGAAAAGTACCTCTAGGATTACGTGATAAATTATTAGAAGAATTAAACAGGATGACTGACTTAGGAGTCATTAGAAAGGTCACTCACCCAACACAATGGGTTAATTCAATAGTAATTGCAGCAAAAAAGAACGGAACATTGCGAATTTGCTTAGACCCGAGACCTCTTAATAATGCTATACAGCGTGCACATTTCCAACTGCCAACCATTAAGGAACTTGCCACTAAAATTCACGGAGCTAGTTTTTTTTCTGTATTAGACGCAAATTCAGGTTTTTGGGCAATAAAACTTGATGATCAGAGTTCAGACTTATGCACCTTTAGTACACCGTTTGGGCGCTATCAGTATTTAAGATTACCTTATGGGTTAAACTGCGCTTCAGAGGTGTTTCATGCTAAGATTAAGCAATTAATAGAGGATTTAGATGGAGTAGATTCTTTTATAGACGATATAATATGCTGGGGACGAAATAAAGACGAACATGATAGGCGTTTAAATGCATTATTAAATAGGGCTCGTGAAATTAATTTAAAATTTAATAAAGATAAATGTCGTATATGCGTTGAGGAAGTAACTTACTTTGGTCATATATTTAACAAAAACGGGATGAAACCAGATTTAGAAAAAGTAAAAGCAATAAAAAATATGCCAACTCCAAAAGAACGAAAATCATTACAACGATTTTTAGGAGCCGTAAATTATTTATCTAAGTTTATACCTAAGTATTCTGAGCGTATTTTTCCGCTTACTCGATTATTGAAAAAGGACACAGAATGGTGTTGGGAGAGTGAACAACAGAATGCGTTTGATTTATTAAAATATTTAATAAGCAAATCACCCGTGTTGGCTTTATATGACGTATCGCAACCGGCTGTAGTTTCGGTGGACGCGAGCAGTGTAGCGCTAGGAGCCGTGCTGTTGCAGGGCGGCCGACCTATTGAATATACTTCATGTACACTCACCGACACACAGACACGATATGCGCAGATAGAAAAAGAAATGCTAGCTATTCTCTTTGCGTGTGAAAAGTTCCACCAATATATTTACGGTAAAAGTGATGTTTTAATTGAAACAGATCATAAACCGTTAGAAAGCATTTTTAAAAAACCCTTAGATTCGATACCAGCACGCTTACAGCGAATGATTTTACGATTACAATGTTATGATTTGATAGTTACATATAAGCCTGGAAAATATATGTACTTGGCCGATACATTGTCACGTGCTCCTATTCCAGAACTATATAATGATAAAGTGAGTGATAATGTATTATGTCAAGTGTATATGATAGTTTCTAACATGCCCGTTTCACATAAAAAATTAAGTGTAATTAAAAATGAGACTTTGAAAGATAATAACTTAAAACTTTTAATGAGATATATAAATCAGGGTTGGCCGGAATATAAAAGAGACATTGAAGATAATTTAAAATATTATTGGTCAATGAGAGGAGATTTATTTTGTGTAGATGGCGTTATATTTAAAAACAAACAAATATTAATTCCCAGTTCCTTAAGAACCGAAATGTTAAAAATTATACATGATGGACATTTAGGGATAGACCGCTGTAAAAGGCGCGCACGTGAAGTGCTATTCTGGCCAGGGATTTCTTATGATATAGAGAGATATGTAAATAGGTGTGTAGTGTGTCGAGAGAATTCAAATAACTCGAGTAAGGAACCGATGATTGCTGTTTCTATTCCAAATTTACCATGAAGTAAAATCGGGACACATATTTCAGTATGGTAAAAAATCATATCTGATTATTGTGGACTATTATTCATGTTTTACGGAAGTAGCATTGTTACATGAAACTACTTCTAAAAGCGTCATAAACGTACTGAGAGAAAATTTTGCTAGGTATGGGATACCAGACATTGCAATAAGCGATAATGGTCCACAATTTTCAAGTCGGGAATTTAAAAACTTTGCGGTGGAGTGGGGATTTGAACACATAACGTCATCACCCAATTACGCACAATCAAATGGTAAGAGTGAAAGAGCCGTGCAAACAATAAAAAAGATATTAAAAAAATCCATAGATAGTGGAAGTGACTTTTATTTAAATTTGCTAAGTTATCGAAATACGCCTCGCGATAATTTGAATTCTCCCGCACAGCTGTTGATGGGTCGTAGGTTAAAAAGCAGGCTACCTGTGCACCCAGACCTTTTAAAAATAGGACATGTAAATAATGAGAGTCAACACAAAGTTATGCTAGATAAACAAAATAAATACAAAATGTATTATGATTTACGTGCCAAGCCTTTACCTGTATTGGATGTTGGCGATAAGGTGACTATGATAGAAAAAAATAATTCTAAAATTCCAGGTCATATCATTGCAAAAGCGGCGACTCCCCGCTCATATTTTATTAAAACTAAAAGAGGAATGGTGTATCGCCGCAATCGCAGACATTTAATAAAAGATAAAACACAAGAAAATAGAACGTCAGCACAAATAGTACATGAGAATAAAGAACATAATTCAATGACAACAAAAACTACTTTTACGAGTAGTGAAAATGAGGAATATTCTTCGAACGATGAATATGAACCGACAATGTTAAATATTGAAGTTAATGAAAATTATTCTCCGCCTCTCACTCGAAGTAAAGTAAATAAAAACAAAAAATAACCGGTTTAATTAATCCTTTGTATTCAAAAAAAAAATGTACTTAAGTAAGTTTTTTATTCATGTCTTTCTTGGTAAGATTATTTAAAAATAGATCACTTTTGTTAAAAACTTATTCTTTAAGGGGAAGGTGTTGTGGGTAGTCTAAAAATATTATATATTAGGAAACCGCCTTTATTAATAAAGACAGTTGTCATCTGAACTCTGTTGTTTCATTGTCACTACAGGAACAATCTTGTGTCTGAAGTCGAGTCTTTGCTGAACAAAGTCTCGGATTGGGGGCGACTAAATCTTGTCTAGTTTAAGCCTCAGAAGACACAATCTTGCGCGTTTACCACCAAAAAGAACCCCTTTGTCGTATCTCCTCAGTTTCAAGGCACTCACCCTCTTGCCTCAGCCAGTATCGGTATCCTCGGAGTCGACATATCGAGTGACGTGCAGTTCCGTGGTCACTTGGAAGAGAAGGCCAAATTGGCCTCTAAAAAGCTTGGCGTGCTCAGCGGAGCGTGACAGTATTTCATGCCGGCACACCGCCTGCAACTTTACAAGGCGCAGGTTGGGCCTCACATGGAATACTGTTCCCATCTCTGGGCAGGGGCTCCCCAGTGCCAGCTCCTTGCACTTGACCGCATCCAGCGCAGAGCTGCTCGAATCGTCGACGACCGAGCCCTTTCCGATCGGCTCGATTCATTGGCACTGCGAAAAGATGTTGCATCCCTTTGCATTTTCTTTCGCATCTACCATGGGGAGTGCTCTGAGGAATTGTTCGGATTAATCCCAGCCGCCAAATTTCACGAACGCACATTGCGGCAGAACTCCCGATACCATCCACACCATCTGGATGATTGGGGGTCCACCACGGTGCGATTTAGAAGATGTTTTCTTCCTTGCACGACTTCCTTGTGGAACCGATTACCATCAGCGATTTTTCCGGACCGATACGACTTGGGGACCTTCAAGAAAAGAGCGTTATCCTTTTTAAAAGGCCGGCAATGCATCTGCAATTCCCTCCCTGGTATCGCAGTTGTTCATGGGCGGCGGTAGTCACTTACCATCAGGTGAGCCGCATGCTAGTTTGCCCCCTCTCCTATAAAAAAAAAGGTTCTACCTCTATAAGTTAGGCGAGACTCTAAAATGTTGTTATTTAACCTCATTAAATGGACGGGACCGTTTATTTCCGCCCCTATTAAAACATTTCGTAGTAATTAACGTTACTGGAGTTCATTTTATACTCTAAATTCTTTTACGTTATTTGCCTAGTATGCAACTAACAACTTCTTAAATATCCAAAATTATGAAACGAAACGAAATGAAATTGACATCATCAACTTTTGGCTCTAAAACCGACGTATTTGCTTTCCCATGTCCCATTTGTGTGTAGCAGACATAAAACACTAATATTGTTAAGAAAGAGGGGCAAACGTACATGTGTCGTAACTAATGGTACCGTCGCCCATGAACAACTTAAACGCAAGTGGAATCACAGTTGCGTTGCTTTCCTAGAAAAATGAATTATAAAATAATAGATCTATTAATTAATTTTGATTTAATTTTACCGTAAAAGGCGGCAGGCGGAAACTAAAACAGGAAATGGGCAGTGGCATCTTCCTCATAGCAACTAAAAATAATAAAAACTGCGGTTGCCAACTCGCCTCCTAAGCGACACATATATGCAAAAAAATCCTCCTAGTGAGAAAAATGTATTGAGAAGATCTATGTTCGGTATGAATCTTATCATTTGTTTTATTAAATTAAAAAGTTACTAATGTATGTGGCTAAATAGACCCGAGAAACCCTAAAAAATATGAAGTTGTATTCCAATAATACTAATTAACAATTTTTTTTCATTCATTAAATTATTATCAAAACCACTGCCGATTATAGGCCTCCTCCATAGATTGCCTCACACGGATAATTGTCATAGTTGCCACGTTTGGCAGACTGGCGGGCAATAGCAGTTTTTTTATTTTTAGCTAGCTGCAGCCCATCTCCTGGTTCATTTACCTCTCGCCGCCATTACACGGCAATCATGTATAATATACAAACATATAAAAGTCAGGAAAATAACACTATTCGAGTCACGTCTTGTCTTTAAATGTTTGTCAAAGTTGTTTGATTGACTTTATTAAAGTAATGAAATGTTCTATAATTAATAGAATCAGGCGTTACTTTGCGGAAATCCATTATATAAAAGCTTTTACAAAAATTTACTTCGCAAATATCCGCGTTATAAAATAAAATGATGTGGCTTTCTTCATTCTAGGTAAGACACATCATTTTATTTTATAACGCGGATATTTGCGAAGTAAATTTTTGTAAAAGCTTTTATGAAATGTTCTAATTTTTAGTTTGTTGATCATTAGACCTTAAATCATTCATTAAATTTTCTAAAATGCTAAATAATTATTTCTAGATTATGTCATATTTGCAGTTATTTTCTAAAGTCTTGGGAAAGTTAAAAGGATTGTTTAGAATAAAACTAATATGTTGTGCTACGTCTTTTTCTTTTATGAATGAATAATTAGAAACCGATTTGTTAATAGTAGATAGGCAGATAATATATTTATTAGTAAATACGCCAACATTGAAATAAACACTTTTTTATTGCTGCTCATTTTCTTAAATCATTCATGGCAACGAAACCTGTCATTTTGCTTGACTTAAGGCAAAATGGAAAAAAATAGGTTGTGTATGCAGCGAGTGCACCGCGTCGCTAGCTATAATCTCTAACGCAGGGATAGGAGAGGTGCAGAGCAGCCACGTGTGCAGCCAACGACTCTTCACATGCGACGCCTCCGCACACCATGCTGGGCGAGATGCTCAGTTGAAAAACCGAACGAAGCAAAGTTAATACCGTTACAACGCCGCCAATGGCCAAGTAGTCGCGCCTCCCTTCTGTCCACTCTGTGCAATTAGGTCATTCTGTTCTGTTGAAGCTTCAGTAATGATCTGTTTCCGTTTCCTAACATCCTGTTAGATTAGATGATCTATCCTTTACTTTCTTTTACGCAAATTTGGATACCTCAACTTTTATTTTCTAAGGTCTTATAGTTTTATAGTTGTTTTGCTTTATTTATACTGTTTTGAAAATATTTTGGTACGCCGTTATATTTAAGCAGGTAATGTGTGTTCAGAAATGATAGTTCCTTCTTCTAACGATACCTTTTTGAGAACAAGTTTCGCTTAAGTTAAAATTAAAAAAGTGGTTTATTCGCCTTCCATCAACGAGACGATTCATTCTCTCGTTTTTACGTAGATTTTTCTTACAATTTTTGTGGTCACTGGTTATCTTACGGGGAACATGCCCGAATAAAATATTTTAAAGGAGCATCACTTAACTTGTTCTCACTTGGATAAATCTGTTTCGTAAAATAGTTGATTCCTTTGTACGTTTAGATTAGTCTCAATCCTTCAGTGACGTTTCGAACTCCTTGTGAAAGTTCTCCCCATTATTTTTTCACCTCATTGTTGCAGGCATGTGGTTTTTACATATTTGTAAGGCTTGGTGACCCTTTTACAACTGTATCACAGTGTCTTGGCTTTTCTCATACTTGATTCTCTATTATTTATTTTTATTATTATACAGAATTACTTTAAGTTGCACTATCTTTATCGTCTGTTATAACCAAAAGATATGCTTTTTTAATCATTCGATCTTTATTATCCAAATATTTAAAAGAATACATTTCTGTATCAGATACTAATGTTATTTGTATGAATCGGTTGCTTTGATCATAGTCATTTTCATAATATTCCATAAGTACTGTTTTCTTTAATATCTTATTAATATTTTATATTAAATATTAACATACACTTATTTTAAGACCAACTTGATAGGCAACCGATTTTAAATGTCGCTCGTAATGTATCCGATCGTGTTCCTTGGCTGTGACAATGACGGCGTGTTTCATTTTAGACCGGCCGTGGCGCGCCAGCAGTCAGCGCCGACCCTGGTGTTTAGGTGTGTCGATGTTACCAAATACTTTAATCCCTATTGCCACTTGAATCACAACATAAGCCTTCACATAGACATAAAGTAACTAGAAACTGGACATTTTATCCAATATTATTCATATATGTTTTT